ACACGTGTCATGGTTAATAGTAGACACATGTCGCGATTTGGTGAGTTACAATTTTGCATATGTGTCATGCACTCATCGCGCGCATCCTCCTTTACATAATAAGATATTCTGAAAATTCAAACACACGGTCATARTCATGGGTTTAAACATATAAGAAAGTAAAGTTTAGACATACCTCGAGACGAATTCTTTTCCTGTCATTCTTTATAGGTATTTGATCTTCTTTGTCTCGTTTGGTAGTGTCATGAATATTTTGTCGTCTCTACTCATTTTTTTCCAAGAAATACATGTATATAACTCACTACCTTGATTAAAAAAAATCATTTTTTCCATCACTTTAGCATATGCAGCGGAGCTATATGTATCGAAAATTTCTCTATCTCCCATAAAGAATTTTCATTGGTCCTCAATAAAGTCCAACACTTAATCCAATTGATCAACCTTGGACATTTCTGAGGTGATTTGGATTTTTTGGTTCTTGATCGTTCGCTGGTTTTCTGAGGTTGGTCAGAATAATTTTGAGCTTCGGGTTGGTTGTTAGACTCATTATCTTCAACATAATTTGCTTCGAAAGGCAAGCAACTTCGTCTTCGTCCATAAAGATGTTGCTAGCCATCATCACGAACTGAAAATGTCGCTTCGGAGAAAAGTTTTTCGATAAGCGGAATATATCACGTACGGATGGTTTTTCATTCAGTTTGTTCCTACAAATAATTAACATATATAGAAAAACATAAAAAAAAATATTCTCATACTTTAACAGAACTAAGTTTTGAAGTCAAATGTGTTGCATCAAACGTCAGAGCAGGAGAAGTACACTAGACTGGTTTATCTATATCATTTGGACATAAAATATATAACTAAATAAGAAACCGGTTGATCAGAATTCTCCAAACTATAGAAAAAAACCAAAAACGTCACAGCCACAAAAATAAAGTTGGACACATTTTTCATGTTGAAAACTTTTAAGCCAAAACTCTGCTAAGTTAAACATATACATGTAGTTAATTTCGAAATATACCTTAATTAAGTTTTTCACAAGAAAAAGGGCATCTCAATTGCTCCTATCTGTTAACAGAGTTTCACTCCAGAAGAATCGGGTCGAGTCATGGGTCATTGACTCATCGTGTATCTTCGACGGATCAAATATGTAGGCTAGAAGTACTGATAGATGAGCCTCTCTTGTAATAGGCTGAAAACACCAAAAGTAGCTCATATATTTTTATCGGGTTTGGTCGATCTAATTTTCGTGGTATAATACTTGTACGATGACCACATCACTATGAAGCTCTCCATAAAGTTTTAGCAAGAATGAACTTTCGTATGAACGTCCAAATGATGGCTGGAAAACGTTTGAAGGATTTCAAGGTTTTCTTGGACATATTTGCAGCTTTCTTGCATAGGAAACAACGAGATTTGCAGCTAGGGTTTACCTCCAAATACGGCTACGTTGTCGCTGAGAGGTTCTCCGATATGAGTTATATCTAGATTTGGCCTAATAGCATCAATTTGATTAAAAATAAAATAAAAAATCTTATTCAAAACCCTTATTTAAAAATGTTTTTTCAACTGCATCTATCTTTCTGCTTCGCCACAACTTCTTCAAAAAACAAACCAAAGTATTCTTCACCACACGATATAAGGTTTTATTAAAAAAAAAAAAAAATTCCTCCGCGTCATACGATCTTCATAGAACAAAATTTCATTTTTTCACAGAAAAATGTTTTCTTGACCTTAACATAAATAAAATAAAGCATTCTTCACAGAACAAAGCGAATCATGTAGACATGCTTGTTAGTAGTTTTCCTTTGTATCTGTTTAGCTAAGATCTAATTACCATAAGAACTTTATATATATTATCATACCAACGTAATACATGCTTTCACCAACATAACTTTTAAAATATATATGACTGCAAATGGTCAATTATTGATCAGGGTGTTGTCTGCGAAACAATCCCATTTACATATATTGGAACGATAAAATAAGAATTCAAGCTAGTGGATAGAAAGCAAGTTTGGCCAAACCACACATTCCTTGGGGATCATCCACGTCTCTCTTGATTCTCATGTAACCATTTTCTCCCCAAGATTCTCCCCATGAGTTCTTCACCAACCAATACTTAGTCCCTTCTTCGCTCGTCCCGTAACCAACAATTGCGACCGCATGACTCATGTTCGTCTCGCATTCTCCATCGAATATCCCGCCTGAGTAGTGCATAAACGCTTCCCCTGACCCATCTATCACCGCGGAAACAGGTTGTTGAGACACCGCTTTTAGCAATGCTTCCTCGTCATTATTTGGAATCGTTTCGTAACCGCTGATGGTAGCAGCAACGGAATCCGTTGATTCGGTGGTTGAAGCACATGTTTGTTGTGATTCTTGGTAAGGATAGTTTTCTTCTGTGGTAATTCCTTGGTTGTTGARTATGTACTCGAAAGCTTTGGACATTATCCCTCCGTTACATCCGTTGTTATCACTGTTGCAATCCACGAGTTGCTGCTCCGACAACGATACAAGCTCTCCTTTGGCAATCTTCATTATGCCTTCCACAGCCGCCACCGCCGAGAATGCCCAACAACATCCTATTCCATTTCCATATATTTCATTTTGAAAATGTGCCACGGATACGGAC